CTCGGCTGCTGAAAGCAGGTATCTGGTTTGTTTGGGTTCTATAATCGAAAGACTGTTACAACTCCAGCTCTGCGATCCCAGCTGGCTGAAAGCAGGTTTCTGGGGTTCTGTTTAGCTTCTATATTTATAACAATGTTTCAAACTGCAAGCTCAGAAGCTGGCAAGGCAGGCGGGGAACGTTGGATTCCCCTGTCACTGAAGTAAGCAAGCCTCATGTTTGCTTCAAGCTGCCTGGCTGCCGGCCGCCATCTTGGCTGTCAGTTAATTTGCATATTGCCCTGATTAGCCAATGGGAAGGGTAGCAGAGGTACGGCTAATTACTATGTTTCTCTTTTATTAGATAGGATGGAACCATCACTGTATTGTGCATATGTCATTGGCCAAAACATTGTCATGTGGCACATGATTATATAGGAAATCACTGCTGAAACCCTAAAAGCCCTCATTGTAAAACTTATTAGTCAGCCTACTCACAGAGTAATGGCATCTGACTAGTTCCATAGTTGTTCTGTCCCTGGTCAATACTGGGCTAGGCTCCCCCACAGAAGGAGTCTAGAGCCCCAAGCTACAGCCTCAAGCCCTGTCATGGGCACTGCTAATGTCCAAGATGATGCCATACTACACACTTGTTTCTCCCCAGTGGATGATGCACAGCAGGCTGTGAGATCAACTAAATCTTCCCACTCCACTCATCCTTCTAAGGTACATCTAAGCCTGTGTTAAAATTCTATTTTGCTACCTGGAATTTCCACCCCCAAGCCCCCCAAAAAAGATTATTATTTTTTTCTGATGAAAAAATCATTATATATGTGGAAAATTTGGAAAGAAAATTTAGACTAAAAATATCTACCCACTAAAGATTATTTTTATTAATATCATGGCATATTTCTTTTAAAATTATATTTATTTTTAATCCTCACCTGAGTACATGTTTAGAGAGGGAGAGGGAGAGAGAGAGAAACAAACACATCAATGTGATAGAGAGACATCTATTGGTTGCCTTCCTTATACCCCTATCAGGGATCAAACGCACAACCCAGGAATGTGCCCTGGCCAGAAATTGAACCAATGACCTCCTGGTGCTTGGGTTGATGCTCAACTGCTGAGCCACACCAGTCCAGCCATCCTTTTTACTATAGCCATCCTGGTAGGTGTGAAGTAGTATCTAATTATAGTTTTGATTTGCATTATTTTAATGATTAGTGATGTTGAACATCTCTTTATGTCTTCTTTAGAGAACTGTATATTCTTTGATGTCTTCTTTAGAGAAATGTATATTCAAATCCTTTGCTCATTTAAAATGTTGGTTGTCTTCTTATTGTTGAATTGTAAGACTTCTCTATATATTTTGGATACTAGATCTTTATCTTATATGATAAAGAGCTAATATGTTAATTAGACTAAACAGCAGAACGACCATCTGGACGACCTTCCGGACGAAGCTGGGGCTGTGAGGGGCTGTGAGGGCTGAGACCCTTGCAGGAATTTCGTGCATTGGGCCTCTAGTTATATATAAGGTTTTCCAATATTTTTTCCCCATTCTGTGGCTTGTCTAATCCATTTTAAATTGTGATGAAGTTTGATTTATCTGGCTTTCCTTTTGTTGTTTGTGCTTTCAATCTCCTGTCTAATCCAAGCTCATAAAGATTTACTTTTGTTTTATTCTAAGAGTTTCATAGTTTTAGCACTTACAGTTAAGTCTCTGATCCATTTGAGTTCATTTTGTATATGGTCTGAGATACAAGTCCAAATTCATTCTTTTGTGTGTAGATAGATATTCAATTACCTCAACACCATTTGTTGAAAACACTATTCTTTCCTCATTTGGTTATCTTAACACCTTTGTTAAAAATCAATTGCCTATAAACATATGAATATATTTCTGTACTCTCATTATATATCTGTCCTTATGCCAGTACGACACTGTCATGATTGGTGTAGTTTTCTCATAAATTTTGAAATTGGAATGTCTGTGTCTTTCACTTTTGATTTTTTTTCAAGATTGTTTTGGTTCTTTTGGGTCCCAGGTATTTCTACATGAATATAAGAACCATTTGCCAATTAATGCAAAAAAAAAAGCAGCTGGTATTTTGATAGGAATTGTATTGGATATGTAGACCAATTTGGAAAGTATTGCCATCTTAACATTATTTATTCTTCCATAGTGTTATTTTTTAAATACGTTTTCATTGATTTGAGAAAGAGAGAGAGAAACACATTGTCTGCCTCCTGCACACCCCCTACTGGAAATCAAGCCCACATCCTGGGCATGTATCCTGATGGGGAATGGAACCAGCCACATCTTGGTGCTCAGGATGATGTCAACCGACTGAGCTTCATCTGCCAGGGCGCTCCACAATAATATTCTTTTTTGTTTTGTTTTGTTAATCCTCACTTAAGGATATTTTTCCATTCATTTTCAGAGAGAGTAGAAGGAAGGGGAAGAGAAAGAGAGAGAGTAAGATCGATGTGAGAGAGACACATCAATTGGTTGCCTCCTGCACGTGCCCCGACAGGGTCAGGGATCAAGCCTGCAACCAAGGTACATGCCCTTGGCTAGAATCAAACCCGCACCTTTCAGCCCTTGGGCTGATGCTCTTATCCACTGAGCTAAACCAGCTAGGGCCACAGTGTTATTCTTAAACAAACCACAAACCTCAGCTATTGCTCAACCCACATAATCAACAATTATTAAGTTTTTCTGCAGAGTAACTAGCTCTTACTATTTCCTCCAGCTACTTTTTAAAATGAAATGCTTTGCCTTGTAAATGAATTCCCTTCTTTCACCACCCAAGCTCAAATGTGTATATTTCCTTATTAGACCATAGTGATTCTGTTTTAGTAAAGTTATTAGAGGTAAATACCATATAAATTTACCTAAAAGATGGAAAAACCAAGGCAAAAAACAAACATTCAAACCATTGTCCAACTTTACACACACACACACACACACACACACTCACATACACACACAATAGCTGGATGGATCTGTGATAAAAATGAGAGGTTCTTGGTTCTCACACTGCTGTGCTCCCCCAGAGTATTAGCAAGAACTGATTTCCCATCCCAACTGCTCTCTATTCCTCTGCCCTTCTTTGTGTGCAATTTTTAAAAGAATACCTAATTTCTCTGAATTTTTTTTCTCTATAGTAAGAAAAGTGGTGCGATTCAGGTGCCCTGGTGAACTCATGGGCCTGTGTCTGTGTCACACTTACTTTTAATGACAAATTTCAGTTGCCTGAGTCCCCACCCCTCCACCCCCACCCCTGGGTCTGTCTTCCAGAAACTAAGTCCCTTCAAAGTGTCCCTCACTTGTTTCTGTGCATCCGTAGAGAGGCCTCACTTGCCCAGAGCCAGTTTATCGGCTGCAGGTATCTGCTCCATCCATCTGTCCCCTGTTGCCTCTTCTGTACCCGTACCCCATCCCTAGTCATTGGATTGTCAAAACCATGCAAGGGTGCTGTTTGGGGATTCATTTAAGTCTCCCCGTCCTGTGGGCACCAGAGCAATTGTGTTCCTATATAGACAAAGAGAATGATCTCCACTCTAAATACAGCGAGCAACTCAGTCCCTGAGTTTCTCTGGTCATTCTAGTAAGCCTCAGGCCCTTTTATTCCTAGCCAGCTGCAAATGGATTGAAGTGCTTAGAGAAAGAAGAGACAGCGTCCCAGCCACACCACTCTTCTCTGCTTCTCACACTCTCCACCTCACCCCAACCTGCTCTGCCCTCCCAGGTGTCCAAACAGAAGCTTGAATGAATGCAAGAAAAGGAAGGGGAGAGGCCATCTCACCAACAGCAGCTGAGCACCTGCTGAAGGGGCACATGTGAATTTCTGATGGTTGAAAATGGTACCTATCCCCAAGAGGAATTATGAGGATTAATTGAAGTAATTCGAATAAAAATACATTAAAATAATACAAAAAAATGGGGTTGAAAAAAAGGAAGCTCTCTGAAACAAATAAGACATCCCCCCAGCCCCCCCCCCCCC